ACTCAGACATGCAAGAATTGTAACCGAATTGATTCAAACACATACAGATCATCAATATAACATATAATAAACATGCAAGATCCAATTAATGATTAATTTAATCCCTAGAGACTATCTAGGTGCACATAACACAAGCCAACAGGAGAGAGGAAGAAAAAAACTTGTCTGTGATTTCAGTTATGAAATCTCGGCGTTGTCTCTAAGTTTTCGGCAATACTGTATATCGTCAAGTCTCCTACCACTCCAACTCTAATCCACAATCCACCTCCTTGGTCCTCTCTGTTTTCCTCCTTGGTAGCCTTAATTGTGTCTCTATTCACTCAACCCTCCCTTTACGTGAACAAAATTTAGGTTTATGTTCCTGTGTTTTGTTCTTAAAACCCTAAGCCAAAACGTAATGATATATTTATAGGCTTAGAAATATACAAACCTAATTCTAACTATGATACGAGAAGGAAAAGAAAACAATTCAATCCGTAAACTAAGTTGGCTAATACAGAACCCCCAACTAACTAAAACCCTAATTAATTAACTATCATAACTTAATCCAATTAATGCCATTTATTCCATTTAAAATTACCATTACACTAATTAAATTCAATTAAACAAATAATTAACAATAAACAAATAATTATACAATTAATCAAATCGCAACCAATTAACAAACAAATATAATTAATTAAACAAAAAAATATAATTAAATACCCAATTAATTCAAATAACAAGCAAATAAACAATAAAAGTATTAAAAATGTAATTAAATAATTAATTAAAATACCAGGACTATCCTTTTAAAATTAGGGATATTACATGTACAAATTTGAAAGTAAAGGGGAGTTTTATTACTTTAAACCTAAAAGATAATAAAATAAACAATTTTTAAAAATGGTTAAAAATCATAAAACCCTCGTGTACTTTCAAAATTGTACATAAAACTTACAGTAAAATTTAAAAAAGCTCATAAACTAAAAAAAATTATCAAATTGCCCCATATCCATAACCGACACATTTTGTTATTTCACAACTAAGTTAATGAGTTAGTTAAAAATATGGGGACAATTTGATAGGGTTTTTTTTTGTTTTCCAGAAGATTTTTAAATTTTACTAGAAGATTTATGCACAAATTTTAAAGTACTGGAGTTTGTGATCATAAACCTTACAAATAAAAGGGCTAATTCTATAAAAACCCCACTACTTTCAAAGTTTGATCATAAACCCTCGACCTGTTTCAGAAAACCTTAACACTTAAAAAAGTTATCACATTGCCCCAATATCTGTATCCGACCCGTTAATCAGGCTGTAAAATTTTGAATACGACCTTACTATTTAATATTAAATTAAAAAATATAATTATTATTTTTGAAGTTACAAAAATACCCCATCTTCTTCTTCATCTTCTCCTCTTCCTTTTAAGCTCTAAACCAAAACCACAACCACCATCCAAACATCACCGGTTGGTCCAACGCAGACTTCTGGTCGCCTCAAATAACAGTGACCCGCTACTTTCAATCGACCCATAATAGGTTACTAGCAGCGATCATGAAGGTCGCTGGTTTCTTCACATACAACTAGCCAAACACGACCTAGAAACCACCATGGATGGCAACCCATGGTCCTCATCCTTCTCTAAAACTGTTGGGTGGCTTACAAGCAACCCAAGGTCGGTTGCTGCTCTTCATAGCGGCTTACTGTGAGCTAATTCTCATTCTCAACATCAACGCTTGTGGTTCTAGACTTCTAGAAATCTCAAGATCGTCAATCATTGCTCCAATAGACTGTTGATTCTGTGCAATCTAGACGTACCAAAGCCATCGATTTTGTTCACAAACCCACTTGCGTTCACAACCCTCTAACAATCACAAGAAATTTTTTGTGATTCACAAACCAAAATGAAACCCTTACTAAAAACAAACCACCATATATAAATAAGCATGGCTATTTCACCCAACTCTAAAAAACCGATTTAATACCAATTCTAACTTATTATACAAGTGTCATGTGACTAGTGGAGCCCAATTTAGAAACGTTCGCGCTTGCAAATCACACACCATCGCACTCCTCAATTTAATTCCTCGGCTTTGACCTAACGCTATGATCGTTGAAGTCTTGGACACGAGAATCTGGTTGTAACGGCTAAGCTTCTCCGACGATGGCCTCTTTCTGGTTCCCTCCGATTGTAAAGGCACTTGCGAGAGAGCACACCGGATTTTTCTTCTGCATGAAATCAAAAAATCATCTATGCGAGGCCACACCCTCTTTAAGCTCTATTTGTTTTCATCTTTTGCCCAAAGGGGTTGTGGAGACCCGGTTAACCCACCCCAGGTTTTTCAAATCTCAATTAGAAAAATAAAAAATAAATACAATCTTCGTTCGATGATGAAACATAGAACTAAGGAAACTAAAAAGATTATGCAAACTCAGGTTAGACAAAAATTAAAAATAAAAAAACTCGAATGTTTTCTCTTCTGTTTTTTTTCATTTTTTTTTTTTTTTTTTTTTTTTTTTTTTTTCATTTTTAGAGGTGAAACCCATAGTTGAAGAAAACAAAATTTTCATTTCTTTTTCACTTCCAGGTAACAAAGTCTTTTAATGGAGAATGTATTTTGTAAAGTGAAAGAATTTTAGGAAAAAAGATACACATAAAAGTAAATTGATTTACACAGAGAAAAGATACGTAAAGAGAAAAAATAGTAAAAGAAACAAAGAAGAAAAGGTAATTTTGTCTAAAATATATATTGCATTTACTTGTTATTACAATAAGCGTATGTTGGTTTTTCATCGGTATAAGAAAGTCGTCAAAAATATCATTTTCTATATATAAATATGGGTTAATTTGCAGATATGAAATATATATATATATATATACATATACGCAAACAATAATGATATATATATATATATATATATATATATATATATATATATTGCTGATGGATTAATTTGAGTAATTTGGTATAATATAATGATATATATATTTTGCAATTATACCAAATTACTCAAATTAATCCATCAGCAATATATATATATATATATATATATATATATATATATATCATTATTGTTTGTGTGTGTGTGTATATGTATATATATATACACATATATACACACACGGGTCATGATATTCAGGTAGAATAGTCTGACCTACTTGTTACGCAGAATACATGAGGCGGTCTAGCTGGCAAAAAAAAATTAATCCAGTTTGATATCAACATCTCACACGTTGTCTATTCATCTTCTCTCCTCGGAGCAAACTGATATAAAGACTGCCGTCACCCACACCCAACGTCGTCAATCTTGACGTCTTCTTCATCATCATGGCTCAACACACTGTCACAACCATCACCCAATTCTAGCAACTCTCCGGCAACAATCACCCAACATCATAAAGTGGAGAAAAACTCCATTTTTTTGCAATTGCACGGCGGGCAGTAAGGATTGAAGACTTCAGGTACGACGTATCACGCCGATTCTGCCTATCCGTCCTCCTAGTTTACCGTTTCTCCTTGCCCGCCTATCCAATTTGAGCCGCGGTGGTGGACAGCGGTGAATACGCCAGGACTGTCGACGGTGGACGGAACGATGGCGGCTCTTGAACTAAAGAGAGATCCGAAGAGAGAGGAACAAGTAACCGGCGACAGGGCTTACTGGTTAGGCAACAACAAGACAGGGGGTCGCATGAACGGATCGACGGCGATAGGCAGCAGCTGAGCAAGAACGACTGGTGATGATGGAACGGTTGCTCGCCTATCTGATTATTCGATCTAAGCAATAACGACTGGTGATGATGGAACGGTTGCCCGCCTATTCGATCTGAGCCGCGGTGGTGGACGGAACGGTGTCCCATATTTTAAAAGGGTACTTTGGTCAAAAAATATTTGTGCCTTTAATTCCTTCTTAACTTATAGAAATACTAACACAAATGGTAATTTTTTTACAACTAAATAGCCACGTAGATTCTGTTAAAGTAATCAGCCAAATTCATAGGTGAAAATATCATTTTTCATAAACACACACACATTTATGTATAGCAATTAAACCAAATTACTCAAAACTCAAATTTCTCAGTGTAATAATATATAGGGCGAATTGCAAAAAATCTCCATGGACTATCACTCACTTGTAAAAAAACCTTCTTATGAATATTTTTAACAAGAAGCCCCCTCAATATAGTTGAGGGAGTATTTTAACTTAACACCGTGTAATTGTGGATTGGGTCATTGTCTAGTGTTTCATTAAATTAAGTGAATACCAAATTCAGTCAAACCCAAAATTTAAGACTATTTTCATCTACCCAAATAATACTAAAATTTTGTGCTTCTTGATTTCTAAACTATTGTAACATACAAATGAAAAATAACTTGCTAAAAGTTTCTCCAAAAATGGTTGTCAATGCAGTGTTTTTTTTTTTTTTTTTTCGATCCTTAATGACTATTACTAGGGCGGTTACGTCTTCCACCGGAATGGCTCAACGGAATACCAAGAATTGTTGCATCTCCTAATGCTCCTTCCTTTTTTCCAACCATAATCTCTTCGCGCTATGATACTAACCAATCCATCGAAATTATTAGGGCTTAACCAAATCAGCAAGTCAAGAAATAGGAAGAGAAGAGGGCGAGGCAGCTAGGCTACCTGCCGAATTGTATGTACCTACCTCTGAGTAGAAGGGGCCATGTCCTCGGCTTCGGATGACTCCTCAAATAAGTTTCCAAGAGTTCAGTGCCGTTCCATCCATAACAACCTCTAATCATTCATCACGGTCTTCCAGCCTAAGCATAATTGGTATCAGTGTGTTGCAGAAAAGAGTAAAAGGTATTTAATTTTCACAACCTCCAAGCTGACCGACCACCACCCATTTCACTTCACTGGTTATGTTCTCAAACCCTAGGAATATAAAACACAAATACCCAAGTGAAGTAATTAGGTTCATCCAACAAACCCTAGAGAGAAAGTAGCAATACACAATGCACAGTCCAGAATCTCAGCTCAAACCCAGATCGACTATGGCGGTTTTTTCCCCTTCCCGGTACTTCACAACCCTTTTTTTACTCTTTCTATACTTCAAGACCCTATCTGTATACCCAAATTCGTCATTTTCTTTCAAGAATTTCGATAAAGATTCGAACTTTGAGTCCCAACCCGCTTTATATGGTGATGCCAAGATCGATAATTGTGGTTCGTCCGTACAACTCACAGGGTCGTCGAGTTCAAGCGCGGGACGACTCATTTACAAGAAACTCATCAAGCTGGGGGAAGGAAACCCAATGAGAATGGTGTATTTTTCGAGTTATTTCTCGTTTTCGATTTCGCGGGAAAATGGTGATGGTTTAGCTTTTGTTATGTTTCCAATTGGGTTTCCTTTGAATGTATTTGATGGTAGCTCATTTAGGCTGTTGGTTGAGAGGAAAATAAGGGTTTTTGGGTTGATGGAACTCGTCAAAAAATTTGGGTTTGATTGAATTTGGTGTTCACCGAATTTAATGGAGGACTGAATAATGGCCCAATTCACAATGTTGAAGGATAGTTTGGTCTAAAAAATTATCTCAAAAAATTATTACACGGTATTAAGTTAAAATATCCCTTTCAATATTGTTAAAGGGGTTTTTTATTAAAAATATTCATAAAAAGTGTTTTTTTGCAAGTGAGTGATAGTTGAAGCAGATTTTGTGGATTTGGTTTAGAGAAAGGGAGGACGTAAAAGTTTCGAGGGCGAGGATGAAGAAGAAGACATGGGGGTATTTATGTAACTTCAAAAGTAATAATTATATGTTTTAATTTAATATTAAATAGCAATGTCAAATTTGATATTTCACGGCCCGGGTGAGACGCGAATATTTAGAATAATGTGAACACTTCTTAAAGTGTCCAATTTTTAAAACATATTGAGAGTTTATGATCAAACTTTAAAAGTAGTGATTTTTTTTTTATATGAAATTAACCCAAAAATAAAATCGCTTTTTTTTTTTTTTTTCGGAAGGTAAAATAAAATCACTTTGTTAGCAAGAAAGACGTGACAACCTCGGATCCACCAAGTAACGGCATCGTTTTACATCTTCTCCTTCAAGTGCTCCAACGCACCTTGTCTTCTTCCATGTTTCGAGTCTCGCTAGCTACGGGAACAAAACAGGACACGATCTCTATATTATTTAGAGAGAGAAAGAGAGAGACAGTGTGATGGAGGAGGAAGGGGTGGGTAAAGAAAGGGGTAGAGATAAAGAAAACCCTAACAGCAACCAGAGCCAGAACCAAGTAAAAGGAGAAGGGTTAGGCTCTTCGAAGAAGGGAAAATCATGTAAAGGATGTCTCTATTACTCATCCAACCTCAAATCCAATTCTCGCAACCCTTTTTGCCTCGGCATCCCTCGTTCCCTTCCTCAAGGTTTTTTCTTTCTTCCACTCTCTCTCTTTCTGTGTGTTTATATATGTTAATACGAGTATAAATTCATCATTTGCTTCTTTTGATTTTGCTTTTAATCTTTGATTCAATTACATTTTTGAATTTGGGTTTAATTGATTTTTTATTTTTTTTTGCTTTGTGAATCCTTCTTGAATGGATTTAATCCTTTTATTTTGTGCTGTTTTTATTATAAATTGGTCTGACTTTCCTACGATTAGGGTTTTAATCTGTCCACGCATAATTATGCGGTTCTCGGATGTTTGAATTTTAGGTTAATTAATCAACTGTTTAGGACAAGAGCGCTTATGTGGCTCCCTTTTCATTCAAGCTCTCAAGGCGTTGTGTTATAAAATTTTCCTTCCTCGTTTATATAGTTCGGGTGTGGGCATGAGACAACAGTGCGTTTTATACTCTAGTATTTAGTGTTGCTTATAATCTCAACAATTCATAAAATGACATTTTTGCAACAGAGATCACCACAAGTATTAATGATTTACACTTCCTGTACTTGTGATTAATTCCTATCATTTGGTTTAATTAGGTGGTTTTGGTTTAATTTGCATCAATTTTTTAGAATTATAAATAAATAATATATATGAGGAATCTTATGTACTTATATATATATATATGAGGAATCTTATTCAAAATATGCTTTCATCCAGGTAGCTTGTGATATAAAATAGTTAGCCTTCCTCATAATGATATGGATCATTTTTGAGTTTTCTTAAAATGACACTCTTTTAGTATTAATCACTAGTTGGAAGACGGATTTTATTTTATTTTTTTTAATTCTTTATTTTATAGTAGATTTACTCAAAATATAGAAAAGATTGAAAAAAAGTGAGAATTGATATAGTCAACCCCTGGTTAAGGCAAGGATGATAATAAAAATTATTAAAAATAAGAATAGGAACAATGCATGAAGAACATTTCACTTGAGCTGTATTTAAAACTGAGTTTCTATTTATATATATATATATATATATACACACACACACATATATATTCATTAGTGAGTTTCAATTTTGCCCCCCTAACCCTAATGTCGTGTACACTCATGGACAAGTCTGTAAATATCCATGTGCAAATACATATATGAATCTAGCTCTATCCCAAATTGTTAGCTCATCCTCTTATAAACAAATGAAGTACCTGTTTGCAACTTGCAAAAACTTCATGTCCTCTATGAGTTTTATACTTTCAAGTGGAAGTCCTCTTCTTAGATTGTGTTTCAGATTTTTTCCCCTGGAAGTTTGCTTTCAACGATACTATAGGGCCATAATATAACTAATTATGTGTTTAAACTCATTTCATAATTATGATAAGTCAATCTTCAAATCCCTATGAATCTAACATGTTGTGGTGTACTGGCCCACCCGTGTTCTGCCCTAAACTTGGCTCAAGGAACTTATGTCTGACTTAATTTGTAGCTGCAGTGTAATTTATACTTAGAAAACAATGACTTCATGCTATATAACTTGTAAAGCTGTATGTGGTTGTACTTTTTAATTGAAAAGATTAAGTTTTCTTTAGAAAGATATGTTTATGGAATAAAGCTGGGAAATATGCAAGATATACATTGTCTTAATTTCTTGAGGTATATTTTGAAAATTGTGGAATTCAACCCCAAAAAGAAAAGGATAAATAAAGGGGGAAAAAAGGAATAAGAAAAGAAAAAGAAAAAGAAATAATGGAACCGCTATATGTTGAAAGCATATAAGTGTTTTCTTTTTGATCGATGACATCTTATGCACACCTAATGCATGAAAATAAGATTGGTTGTTAGACTTGATAGATAAGATGCTTGGTGCTTTGTGTGTGGTTTGTTGTTTGATTCTTATGTGACTGCACCTCATCTGGCCAGTCATGGACCCTACATCTGCCAAGTTTGGCAATGGAAATGTTTCTGCTTTTGTGGCAGTACCTTTTGACCAGAAAATAATCATTCTCATTGGAGAAAAGTATATTTTTCTCCCAAGTGAAACCTTGAAAAGGAAGTGTCTCTTTATCCTGCACTAAGGTGGTGTTTGATAAAATTAAAATTGACACTGAAAAATTTAGTGTCAAAAACCTGTTATAAAAAAAATAATAATAATAAAAAGACGAAGAAGAAGAAGAAGAAGAAGAAGAAGAAGAAAGATTTCTGTTAAGTATTTAGTAATACTAAAGATATTAAGTTGATAAGTTATAGAAATGACTGTACTGAAAAAATAAGTTGTAGAAATGAAAATTTACATGTAAAATGGTTTTAGAAATGAAAATTATGGTTAGTTTAGATGCAATACCTACAACTCATTGTGCTGTGCAACATTTAGTGAATCTTTGACTCAAAATCTAGACATTTCTTAATAGGAAATGTATTTTTTCAAGCGGTGACAAGTAGTATGTTGTTGAAAGTTTGAAACTGGTGCAATTTTCAACACTTAATTAGGTTATGAAACTGCCTTTAATTATTATAGGAAATGTGTCTCAACCTGCAAATCTTGATAATATGTTTACATGTTGGGATTTGCCATGTATATCCTTTATGCTGGCTTTATGCATATATTTGCTAATTGAAACTACTACACTATGGATACTGAATTTCACACTTGATGACTAGTACCTCGCTACATTGTTGGGGAATCTGAGATGGAAGCTTCGAAAGAGGGTAGGAGCCTGGCAGATTTTAAATATGCTTGTGTTGGTTACTCAGTTTACTCAGATGGAAAAAATCCTTCAATTGCTACCCCGGAAACGCAAGCAGAACTGCCAGTCTGCGTTGGCATTGAGGTTGTCATTTCTCTATATCTCTTTGCAGGAGGTGGTTGTTATTGTTGTCACAATCATCATTTATTATTATTATCATCATTATTTGACTAGCAATGCTTATTTCTTTATCAATTAGGATTTTTTTTTTTCTTTTCATATAAATTGGTATTTATATCTGAACTGCTCAACAGTTTCCAGTTTTATTTTAAGGAAATAACATAATTCACACTTACAAAAAAAGGGAACACGTCATATTTATAATGATCGTGAGTTTTTGGAGCAAATGGGAGGATAACATTGGTGGGTGGGAACTTGTATGTTCAGGATTTAACTCCAGTCAAGTGAAATTTGGTGAGGATAACATTTGAATTTGTGCTGGGCAGGTCAACGATGGAGGCTATTTATTCATTGAGGAGACTAATGGAAAGATATAAGAGAAGAGCAGAGATCTCCACATACTTATCAAAAAAAAAAAAAAAAAAAAAAAGAGCAGAGATCTCCACATGATTTTTATTGATTCGGAGAAAGCCTATGATAGGGTACCTAGAGATCTAATATAGATCTCCATATGGTGTTTATTGATTTGGAGAAAGCCTATGATAGGGTACCTAGAGATCTAATATGGAGGGTTTTAGAAAAGGAGTTACAAAGAGATACATTGACACAATAAGGGACATGTATGATTGTTGTGTGACTACAGTTAGAACGCAGGGAAACAAGTGAATTCCCAATTACTATAGGCTTACATAAGGGTGAGCATTAAGTCCATACCTTTTTGCCTTGGTTATGGATGAGCTGACAAGACACACCGAGATGAGATTTTGTGGTGTATGTTATTTACCCATTATATTGTTTTAGTTGATGAGACTAGAGGAGGAGTTAATGTCAAATTGGAGGTTTCGAGAAAAGCTTTAGAATTAAAAAGGTTCAAGATAAATCGAAATAAAACTGAATATATAGAGTGTAACCTTAGCAAATCTAGAAACACAAATGAGGATGCAGTGAGAATTGAGAATCAAGTGGTACAAAAAATTGAACATTTTTTATATTTAGGCTCGATTATTTTTAATGAGGGAGAAATTGTAGATGACATTAATCATAGAATTAGGGCAGGATGAGTTAAATAGAGGAGTGCATCTAGTATATTGTGTGATAGTCATATCGCCTTACAATTGAAAGGGGAGTTCTATAGAACAACTATTAGACTTGCTAGACTTTTATGCTTCGTTTCATTGGAAGGATGGAAAAATAGATGGAAGGGATGAATGAGGCATCCCTAGGGAATGGAAGGTGTCTCTCTCACTTTTTGTTTGGTTGAATCGAATGGATAGTAGAAATGATGGACGGGGTGACACATTTTTTTTTGTTTGGTTGGAAGGAAGGGAAATAGGGTTTTTATATTCTTTTTACTAATATGCCCTCAGTATTTAAAATTTTTATATCTATTCCAAATTTTTAGGAAGGTTAGAAATGAAAAATCGATATTTGTGTTGGTTATTTTTTCTTTCTCTCCTCTCTTTCTCCCAATTTTGGGCAGATAGAGAAATACAAAGGAAGGAGGGAGCTCTCCAACCAAACACGAAAAAGTTTGTTTATCCCCCCTCCCATCCATCCCTCCTCAATCCTTCCCTCCAACCAAACATAGCATTATGGTACCGAATGTTGACCAGCTAGGAAATAACATTTGCATAAAGTGAGAGTGGTAGAAATGTGAATGTTGAGATGGATGTGCGGTAAGACTTGAAAGGATAAAATTAGAAATGATCACATTCGGGAGATGGTTGGAGTAGCACTAATTGGAGATAAAATGAGAGAAAATAGGTTAAGATGGTTTGGCCGTGTGCAAAGAAGAACTTTAAGTACTCCGGTTTGAATAAGTGAAATAGTCCACATTGAGGGTGATATTAGGGGAAGGGGAAGGGGAAGGGGAAGGGGAAGGGGAAGGCTAAAGTTAATGTGGGTAAAGTTAGTAAAGAAAGATATGATAGTATGTGGATTGACTGAGGCTATGGACTTAAATAGAGCGGAATGGAAGCATGGGATTTATGTAGAGGACCCCAAGTAACTGGAAAAAGGCTTGGTGGTGGTGGTGCTTCTTGTTGTTTTATCATCTTTGCTTCTATCATGTGATTCTTGTTATTTGAAAAATGTTGCCACACTTATATAACAGCCCTTGCTGCAGGTTTTAGTAGACAAAAGAGCTGTTACTGCTGATTCCGTTCCTGCTCATGTTCACAATCGAGAAGGTAGAATAACTGGATTTTTATTTTATGTTTTTGGTTGTTGCAGATTTCTGTTACATGTCAGTTTTGATGTGATGAATGCATTCGGCCTATGATGGGGCCTAGTTTCTGGATTCTGGCGCAGGTGATACCAACACAGAAAATTCTAAATTTACCTTCACATTACTTTACATATCAGACTAATCTAATTATTGATTCATGTTAAAATGCAAGAGTTTACTTATCAACAAAAAACTAAAATGCAAGAGAAGATGGAATCGGATATGTTATTTTCAAAACATAAGATTTTTCAAGATTTATCTCTAATTTTATACTTGATAAAAAGGAGAGACTACGATGAACAGCAATCAAATGTATAACTTAATATTGTAATATCTATATTTGGAGTATGCCAAACTGAAAATAAATGAGCTGAAATTTAATGAGCATAGTTTATTGTAGTTATTTCAATCATAACAATAATACACATATCTACAATCATTTTGTAATTATATCATCTGTAATTTTACATATGTCTAGCTTATGTACATTGATTTTTAAATCTGAAGTTATTTACCTGATTGTTATGTCTGGCTTAATCAAAATCCCTGAGGACTTGAACCATTTGAATGGCAATTTTGTTAGATGTTCTAAACGAAAGAAGATAGATTCCTGAAGATAGTGCTGTGTAGAGGCACAACAATTGGTTGTCCTGTCCAAATCATGATTTTAATTATGTGATTTTTGGCATTCTAATCATCAAGTTCTATGATGTTTGTCTTGTTCTCCAAGGGCTCAATGAAATACTAAATAGAATCATCATTTACCACGGATTATGATATTCTAGATTGATAATGCAACTTGAGCTGTGGACTGGGTTGTTCAGATTATTTTCTCTCGTTGTGCCTAAAATGGTAGCAATTCTTATAAAAACATTCATCTCTTATGATTTTTTCTTTTTATTTATTTACTGCAGACTGCCTTCTACATCCATTTTTGTTATAAGATGGTCTGGTCAGTTACAGAGCTTAGCTGAGAAGATTGAAAAAGAAAAAAAATGGTCCCTTTGTAGTGGAACTAACTTTTGGATTTCTTTTCATGCACTATAGTGCAATTTATATATGTTTATGTACCTATATATATATATATATTATGCTTTTTATATATACATGAAAAATAAATTGTAAATATATATATATGGAAACAGCGAGGCAAGCTATACAATTTCTGCCATATGGATGACACATCATGATAAATTGCAGCGTCATTTCGTGGACTCCATATGGTATGTATGTATAGTGATCACATCAACGATTGTGGTTTGACAACTGACAGATGCATGAACACACACATGCACTGCCATAATTCTATAGACAAGTTTTTAGTATTTTCTTGTGCCTTCTTATGCAAAATAACAAACTTTGTGGTGGTTTCTACCTTTTCTATATGTGAATATTCATGGATATATATATATCCAGCTTTGATGTTAAATTATTGAACCTCTGGCGCCATTATAGCCTCAGACCTCTTAGTTACATATTTGAATTAATTTTGGAAAAAAAATGCAACTGCACCTTGCACTAAACTTAAAGAAAGAGAAATTGGGACATTTTTCTCAAACAGTGGGACTGCTGATTAATAAAATTAGTCAGAGCTTCATTCATTTGTTCCATTTTATATGGTGAGGGCTGTGGCATGTGGTTTTGGCGTTTCATTTCTCAAATGAAAGTAACTGGCGTAAAAACATATTACAGTAAGCTTAAAACATGTCTCTTGGTAAACTACATGTTTGTTTTTTCTTTTATGTCTTGTAGGGCAGTGGATGTGTAGGGATGACCTATGTTGGATTGACTTTTGTCGTCTGCTCTTTTTATTACTTTGTGATACTTTTTCCTTGTGGCGTTTACCATTCTGAATAATTTACCTTATGTTCCATCTCAAAGTATTTTTTTCTGCTCTTACTATGATAGTTAATTCTCTGTTCTCGTGCAGTTTGTATGATTTCATGTGTTATCTTGAATTTTACAATCTTTAGTAGTTATCCGCAATTTTGCATAGGATATATTTTCTTGGAATTTCAAGCTAATTTATGGTATTATTTTATGAAGATGCTCGCGGAACACCGCGGTCTCGAACACAAAAACCAGCACATTCTGTGGGGGATGAGTTTCTCAACAGGCAAGTCAATGATATAGTTGTTTTTCTATTTTAGTTGGAATTCATTGTTCTACACGTATGTCTAGATGTTTATATCTTCAAATGCTTAAAAGTAATGTGTACTATGAAATACAGATTTTCTAGAAATGCAAGCCTTGTTGCAATGGGGGTGGCCAAGAACATGCGTAAAGTAGGCAATCAGATAAAAGACACTTTCGATGATATACTTTATCCCTACCGAAGGCGACCCAAGTAAGATTGCTGATCATTCATTGCAAGAAGATGAAGAAAATAACCAAGCAGCAGGAATTAGCTTCAACCCGGTTGTTGTCATTTGCTTTTCATCAATATAAGTTAAGATTTTGCCCCTTCTCTCTCATAATTTACCTGAACAATAATGACTCGAGAAATGGACATTTTTGTTATGTTCATTAGAAGTCTGGTTTTAATGTTGTTGATGTTTGGCATGGGCAATTGAAAGCCTGGGTTGGAGGTAGAGGTGGACAGCCTCCTTGTATCATGTAAGCAACTATTTATTTAAATTGTTTGACATTTGTTGTCGTTTTGCTTCTCATCAATATAAGTTTATAAGATATTGTCCCTTCTCTCTCATAATGTACCTGAACAATAATGACCCCTGGGGACATTTTTGTTATGTTCGTTAGAAGTTTTAATGTTGTTGATGTTGGTTGGCATAATGGCATGGCCAATTGAAAGCCTGGGTTGGAGGTATAGGTGGTGAAAGTGTACAATACCTAGGTACCATATCTCAAGTTTTCAGCTGTTGAATGTGGTGGTGGGACCCACTTGGTGGATAATCTAACCGTTGAGAGGTCCCGGGAGCACGGTAGCCAGAGTATTGTAGACTCTCTCATATAGGTTGACAACTTCCCGTGTCATCTCTTCACACAACCATATTTGATAAACAAGGGCTATTGTTGCAACAATCAATGAAGTAAATAAACTTATTATTGTAATTTCTTTTACATTCTTATGCCCAATAATAAGCTTTTTGGTGGTTCCTACCTTTTCTATATATGCATATTTATGTATTATATATGTATATATTTTGCAGCTTTGATGTTAAATTATTGAACCTCTGGTGCTATTTTAGTCTCAGATCTCTTAGTTACGTAATTGAATTAATTTTGTAAAAAAAAAAAAAAAAAAATGCAGCTGCACCTCGCACTAATTAAACTTAAAGCAGAAAGGAAAATTGGAACATTTTTCTCAATCAAGTGGACTGGTGGTTAATTAATAATATTTAGTCAGAACTTCATTCATTTGTTTCATTTTATATGGTGAGGATTGTGGCATGTGGTTTTGTAAATGAAAATAACTGGGCTAAAAACATATTACTACGGTTGTTTGGATTTACAAGAAGCTTAAGTAAATAACCAAGCAGCATGAATTAGCTTCAACGAGGTTGTTTTCATTTGCTTTTCGTCAATACTAAGTTTATAAAATTTTGTCCCATCTCTCATAATGTACTTGATCAATAATGACTTGAGAGCTACATTTTTGTTATGTTGGTTAGAAGTACTGTTGGTTGATTTTGGCATTCTGGGGGCAGAGGTGGACGTTTCCCTGTACAATGTAATTACGCTACTATTCATTTAAATTGCTTGTTTCGCTTTTTGATTTGATTTTGTACACTAATCAGTTTATTAACTTTATTACTAATTGAATTTACGAATAAGATATTCTACATACATTATGCGCCCTTTTTTTTGAAGTTTGCTCATTCACTGGACATAGAAATTGAGTGTGAAGAAGTTCAACAGTGATACAATGAAGCTGATGTGTGAGTTTGTCAATTCTCCTAAATAGAGAATTATTTTAATTAATACCAATTTGACCGTTTACAAAAATCAGAACAGAATAAATACAACAAACTCAAAATTATGTATGAAATTTGTAAATAAATCTGTTCATTACTTCTGGACTTGGTTTCATTTATAATCATTTCCTATTATGGGTGAAATGTAGATGGTGGGCTAGGCCCATATATAACGGACCCGAGTTTTAACTTTTAAAACAAAAGAAACCATTTACGCTAAAGCCCAAACATAATATTTTAAAACGTAAAAGGTTTACAATTTTTTTCACTAATTCCTACTAATAGATGGAAGTTAATTTTTATTATAAAACCATGAATTTGAAAGTTATTTAAAATTGTTATGCCTCCATTCATTTTCGGTATAGATGAGAAAATACATTGTAATGGAAATGTGGCTAAAGCACACATCAATAGTCAATAAGATTATACAAATTGCAATGAATAAGTATGAACTATCAAAATCAAGTATGAATTGCCTACGTAACTATAATCACTCTATGATGTAGTACAATCCATCGAGACTATGCATGTTCCATCAAATTACTTACCAATTGTATCAAATAAGAATCATGCATGACCATCAATAAGCACAATTACAAAAAGTACATAATGTAGAGATCAGTCCTCAACATTGATGCAATTTTTGTAATGAGTATTTTTACACTTTTCACACATGTACTATTTAGAAATGCGCTAGCTGTTTAAACTTTCTTCATTAATATTTACACCTCTAGAAAATTACTTAATCATCTAAAATATTTTCTAAACTTAATAAATATCTATTACTTCACCAACATTCAAATAGGCGAACTTTCCTCTTTAATATATAAACCTCTACAAAATTCCGAAATCACAAAATGTATAATTCAGTAGGTTTTGATATTTATTTCTTCTCAACAAAATCCAAGAAAAGAACGTTGGTTTCTATGCCGTTATTTGAATGCTTCTTATATTTTATTACAATAAATTGAAAATATACACTACACTTTTCTTAACCTCCAAATATATTCTCGCTCTACAGGGGTGACTCAGGTTTCTATTGGTATTTTTTATTTCTCAAATTTAATTTTTGTTTTTTATTTTTAAAATTTACGTTTTCCCTCCCACATACTATTTATTTTAAATTTCTTAAATTAATTTTTATTTTTAATTTTTAATTTTTTAATTTCACTTGTAAATGGAAGCTTTTTGTGATAGATACATGAATATTCAAAAACTTTATTAAGAAAAAATATATATTGTAATTTTTTTTTTTTACATTTTTTAAAATTTTCATATTTATTTTTTATTTTTAAAAATTTCACTTGTACATATCAATGTTTCTGTAATTGTCTTGCCACTTTTGACTTGCATTCTTTCTTTCTTTTCTTTTTTTCTTTTTTTTTTAGTGTTTTGTTTTAATATTCAGATTTATTTTTTATTTTTATTTTTTGTTTTTTAATTCTCACATGTTATATGTGGTATGAATTTATATATTTAAATCTTTTAGTATTCATTAATTTAGTAAAAAATATAATTACAAATTTTTTATTTTTTTTATATTACAACCACTTAGAATTCACAAATAGGTAACACTCTTATTGTTAGACTGATATTAAAAAAATTATTAAACTTTACTAAAACTTTATTTTAATTAAATTAAGTTGTAAAAGGTAGTGTGTGCATTTTGAAATTTATGTACCTAAGTCAAAAAAATCATAATTTCATTACGTTATTTCGTAACTAGCTGGATTACATCCGACCGAGATCGCAAACCGTGGCCTCAATGGGTTTCTCTGTTGCTTGATTATTTGAGAATAAGATTTCAGTGGATATATGCTCCTAAACTTAACCGGGCTTTGATTCCACCATTTACCATGTGTGATTGCTCCAGTATTCTATTATGAATTCAACTTATATTTTAGAAGTTTATCTTTTATTTTGATTGAATTAAATAAAATAATTATAAATATATCAGGAATTATTGTTAAGGTCTAAAATGCTCATCAAACTCTTATTGTAAAATACTAAATATTCTTCTTCAAATCATTTAATTTCAAAATAACGAGTAGATCGAGAATTAGTTTTAACTAGCAAATTCGAATAAGATATAAGACAGTTAATAATGACAATTTAAAAAATTAACTAGTAAATTTGAATAAGATAGTTAATAATGACAACTTAAAAAATTAACTAGTGCATTGTTCTTAATACAGTTGATCTAACGAACTCCTTTGCAGAAGAAAATTGGGAGAAATATTGATTAATGTTAGGAATTACCCCCAAGATCTCACTCAATATAAGCAACAGAAAATAAATAAAAGCACACGCATAAACAAACAAGATTTAAATTGTCTACGTCCATGGAAAATAACGACTATCATTATTTCAATATCAAAATTACACACTTACAATCTCTCTCTCTCACAATTCTTTTTTTCTCACTCTTCACAATTTTCTTGATCTCTGCCTCAAATTCTCTCGCGCCCATCACTATTTAAAAGTTTTCAAACTCAAATTGTTGCTAAACAATAATTTCACATCTTGACTATAAAGAGTTACCATATCAATCACAACTCTAAAATAACACCCTAATATTTCATAACTTTTTCACCAAATCTTTACCCTCTTCCCACAAGTAATATGAAACTGTTTCCTGCACATATTAAGCTCTTTGGACCAGTCTAAGAAAAGTTGTACCAGTCCAACTGTTCCAGTAACCTTCAACCATTTTCACATTTAATTTGCGAGGGGTGTTGGACCGATCCACAAAAGTTGGACCGGTCCAAATACTCCAGAAATATCATCCCACATGAATTTGAGCTTCAAACCTGACAATTAAATCCTCACTCTCTTTATTTATTCTTATTTTGTTCCAACTGGGTGTTGGACCTAAGTAAAACTTCACAAAAGTTCTTCATACAAACAAACAATATTAGTCTTTATTTTTAAAAATGTTTGATAAATAAGAGCCTCTTATTATGTCATATTCCAAAATTTTGAGTTATTAATCAAGAAGCGCACTACGGAAGTATAGATTTTGGAGGCTGATCTCAAATGAACTCCAAGTTTTTCTCCAAAACTAATTCTCAAAAACAAGAATCAGTTTGAACAAGCAAATACAGATTAGATAGTTCATAATATTTTTTCCTACCAGGAAGATAAAACAAAGGAAGCAAATAAACCGAAAGATAAACTCTGTTTAATTCAAAGAAAACAATAAATTTTTGAGATAATTTCACTGACACCTCCAGTAGTTTGGCCAAATATCAGTCTCAAACATTTTTCGAAAATAACTATCACTCACATTACAAACGTTTGCTCCGTTTTTCACTCACACCCCAAAAGTTAGTTGACAGGTGTGTCAGACCAATTTTTACATGTAAAAAGACATTCTTACCCTTTGACTTTGGTTTGACCCACTTAATGACATGTTTACCCTCATTTGACTTTAATTTGACTAATTAAATTATTTTTTTAAGTATTCAAATGACATTTTTACCCCCCCCAACACATACACACACACATATATATATATTACACACAAGCACAACACCACCACCAACACCGGCGAGGTTTCTAATTTTCCTCAACACCACCACCAACATCGACGACCACCACCAACACCGGCGAAGATTCCAATTTTCCTCACACGCACACACACACACACACACACAAGCACAACACCACCACAACACCAGCGAGGATCTCGGCGCAGGAGACGGTGGCGCATCAGGTGAAGGAAACGACGGCGGGGCAGGTGAGCCATCATGGTGACGAGCTCCCGGGCATCGAC